GGGCCCCTCCCTGCAGGCAGCTCTGGTGCCTGGTACCTGGGATCAGAGGGAGCCAGTGGCCAGCAGGTGGCGCTGTGCAGTCTGGGACACAGACAGGGTCCAGCCTGCACTGTGCATCCTGTGCACCTGTGCAGGAGAAGGTGTGGTGAGGCGGGCACCTGTGCAGGTGCAGATGGGAGCAGGTGCAGGTGGGAGCATGTGCAGGTGGGAGCGTGTGCAGGCGGGAGCGTGTGCGGGTGCAGGGGGAGCGTGTGCGGGTGTGTAGCCACCCCTGCTGCAGGGTCTGCGTGCGGAGATTCTCAAGTGGAGAGAACGTGTGCAGTGGGTGACGTCGCTCGTGTACCCGTCCTTGGCAGGGAGGTCACGTGTGTGCTATGGGAGATTGGAGCTTACGTTCTAAATACCTTGGAGGACAAACAGGCTCGCGGTCGGTGGCGCGGGGGAGGCCGTTCTTCGTGCTACAGGCTCCCGGCGCCTCTCCACCGCCCGTCTGCCGGTCGGGAGGAAACTGCAGCGGGAGCACCTGGCAGAGCCCATGGGACCAGGCTGCTCCTCCCCTGACCTCTGTCAGGAAACGAGGCCACCGGGGCCGGTGCCAGGAGGTGCCCGTCCTCTGGGCATCCCTGTTCTCTGGGAGCAACTACTGAGCCGACAGCTGCTCCCATCGGGCCGGTGCGGAAGGTCGGACCCCGGGGCTCAGCCTCAGGCAGCGGGAGCCTCACCCTCACTGCGGGCGCGGCCACTCCCTGCGCACCGCTGCCGGACGCTCGGCGGGGGCTGCCTGTTTGGAGCTGCCTCCTGCGTGTTTCGGCTCCGCCCGATGCCCACACGCCTGCTCATCTGCCCCCACAGTTGCTCCTGGACTGCCCGGGTCTTGGCAGAGGCGCAGGGCAAACCCAGCGAGGAGCTGCGTGCGTGGTTTTGGACCCCGCCGAGCTGCCTTTGCGTCCGCGTTGTAAACAATACCGGTGTCACTTCACCTTCAAATGTTCCAGATTGGCCCTGCCAGTGTGGCTCAGTGGATAGAGCATCGTCTGCAGACTGCAGAGTCCTGGGTTCGATTCTGGTCAAGGGCACATACCTCAGTTGCAGGCTAGATCCCCGGCCCTGGTTGGGGCGCGTGCGGGAGGCAACTAATTGATGTGTCTCTCTCACATCGATGTTTCTCTCTGTCTCTCCCCCTCCCTTCCACTCTCTAAAAATCAATGGAAAAATATAAAAATATCTCAAGTGAGGATTAACAACAACAAAAAAGAAAGTCTGCCTGCTTAGTCAATAAACAAAATGTGGGGCGGGGGGGGGGGGGGGGGGGGGGGGCGGGGGGCGGCGAGTCACAGATTTGCATGAATTCCTTTTGCCACCAACAGCCAAGAACAGGTCTTACTTACATCCCAAAATATGCAAAAGCAAAGGGGAGACTCCCCGGGGAGCAGCACAAAAGCTGCAGGAAGGGGAGGGCCCAGGAGGTCTGGGGAGTGACTTCCTTTGCCAACACCAACTGCCTGAACGGCTCCATGGCGGAGCCTGTGAAAACATCCTGGGCCGAGGAACCCCTCGGGTGCAGATAACGGGGTGGCCCCGGGCGATGCTGGGGGCACAGGAAACAGCCTGTGTTCCTCATTTCCCACCCACCGTTTGTGCTGGAGCGCTGCCCCCCGCCCTCCCCCCCCGCCCCCCGCCACACACACACTTGCAGTAGGAGCAGCGTGTGTTTGAGGATTAGCTGCCTCTTATTTCTCGCGTCCTTCTGGTGCCTGACCTTTACGAGGCCCTCGGATAAACTCGGGATGAAATCCCGCTCGCCGCCTCCCTGCGCCTGGGACTCCATGAGCGGGCTGTGCTGTGCAAACATCCCCGGCTCGTCGCCGCCAGGCGGCCTCTGCCCTTTCGGTCTCGCCCGCTAGTCACGTCCGCGCACTGCTCGCTGCAAAGGGCACCTCGGAGAGGGGGTGTCGTCTACCTTTTCCTTTGCTTCCTCACAGCCAGGGATTTTCATGATTCTTTCCAATCCCCTCGGTCACCAACCGTCAGGTAAAGAGGGCTTAAGAACAGCAGTGGAGCCCAGCGGCCTGGCTCAGGGTTGAATGTCGACGTAGTAACCAGAAGGTCACGGTTCGATTCCCGGTCGGGGCACAGGCCCGGGTGGTGGGCTCCATCCCCAGTGTGGGGCGTGCAGGAGGCAGCCGATCCGTGATTCTCTCTCATCATTGATGTTTCTCTCTCTCTCCCTCTCCCTTCCTCTCTGAAATCAATAAAAAATATATTTTTTTTAAAAAGAAGAAAACCCGGTTAGCTGTATAGTCTAACTTTTTGTCGTGTATCAGGTGAAAGGCAAGCAGAGCGATCCTGTTTCTCTGGCGACACTTTTCCTCCTGTGTGTCCGATGGCAGTGGACGTCGCGCTGATTTCTGCAGCGCGGGCTCCGCACCGGCTCCCGTCTGTCTGGTGACGGCTGATTGGCGAATGTCCCCGTGCAGTCGTGGCTCTTGAGGGAGCCGGACAGACGCCGCCAAGGCCGGCCGTGCTGTGTCCGCATTGCCTCCTTCCCGCAGGAAAAGTCCTTAACGGAACATGAAATGCTGGGGACGCGGAAGCCGACAGATTCCGTGTGGAGGAAGGAGAATGGCTTCGACTCGGAAAGGACTCGCTTCTTTGTGGAGTAGCCATGCAGCCAGAGAAAGTGTCTCTTTTTGGTCCCAAACCCATTGTTCTCGGTGGACAGAATGACAACAAAGGCGGCGCACTGTCCTCTGTGGGTTTCTGTTTGGCCTTTTGTGTCTGCGCAGGAACGGAGTGTGAAGGACCCCTTGAGTCATTCTACCCCGTGCAGCGGGCAGTGAATCTCCCCGTCCCCGAAGGGTGCGTAGGAGGAGACGGGACAGCAGTGCGCAGGCGGGCTCTCGGGGGAGCTCTAGAAATACCGGAGCGGGGTTCCCAGCGACGCCCGCTTCCGTGGCGCCGTCCCCGGGGCTGGCAGCACGGCAGGCGGATCAGGTCTTCAGCACGTGCGGGGCTCCCGAGTTATCTCCTGCCGAGGTTCTGAGCACAGCAGGTCGGACCCAACGCCATCGGTAGTTCCGTGCTTTAAGGGAAACGAGGTCATAACACATCAGTTTCTCCAAAGGCTGATGGACATAAACCAGGGGCAATGGATGGAATGCTCTCTCTTTCTTTCTCTTTTGCTCTCGCTCTCTTTCTCTCAGATCAATAGAAAACACATCCTCAGGTGAGGATTGTTAAAAAAAAACAAAAAACAAAAACTGAGTAGAGGGAAAAGAATTTCGAGGAAATTCAGTTAGAAAACGAATCAGTGATCAAGTTCAGAGAAAACAAAGAAGCAATTTAGGAAGAAAATGTAGGCAACAGACACATGCATGAAGACAGCTGGTTTACATAATGATAACATCTGTTGCAACAATCTGTATATATAAAAGGCTAATATGCTAAGTGTCCCACCACCCCTACGACCGGTCGCTGTGACGCGCACTGACCACCAGGGGGCAGACGCTCAATGCAGGAGCTGCCGAGCTGCAGTGACTAGGCAGCGGCGGTTCTTGGGTGACGCACCTGGAAACCAGAGAGGAGGGAGCCCGACTCCTCTTGGGGCCGTGCGATTCCACCTTCGGCCGTGGGCTATGTTGTTGCTGGGACTCTGTCGGCCCCGAATCTGGTTTACTGCACACCTGCGTTTGCGTTCCACACCCTGTATGACAGCAACTTTGCAGAGTGCCCTCTCGCACTCCGGGCCCCTCACTCCACAGACGCCCTTCAAGCCGCAAGCCACGGCGCCACCCCAGGTGCTGCCGGCCGGGGAGGGGCCATGGGGGGTTGGCTCCAGGGCGTGTCAAGCCCATCAGTCCCAGTCCCACCCCACCGGCCACCTTCTAATTAATTTCCTTTCAATGTGCATGAACCATGCCCCTGTCATTGGTACATGGATCACTAAATTGTGAATTTAAACCTCGTGCTATAGTTTTTAAAAGATTGGGGTTGGGGATGGTGTGTGGGTGTGTTTGCGTCTGTGTGTGTCTCAAAGAGCTAAATCCTCACCTGCAGCAGGAAACAGTCAGGAAATAGCCGAATACACTTACTACTTATGAAAATAGAGTGGATTTTAAAGGAACAGAGTTTGAAGGGGTGGGGGCCGGAGCCTGGCCTGTGGGCAAGGGACTGCTGGTTAGAGCGGAGCTTTGAGGAACTTTCTTATGTCCCTGTTTTACATAAAACAGCTTATAGAGTTTTAAAGGTCCAAGAGGTGGTTATAACGATTGTAGAAGAAAAAATATGATTTTTAAAATAAAAACTAAAGACCAGGAAAATGTATGCCGACCGTTAAACTGAGTGTTAATGAAGGGTTTTTTTTTCTTTCTTTGGCTTATATAATTTTTGAAATTTGAAATTGGCCCAGCTGGTGTGGCTCAGCGGTTGAATGTCAGCTAACCAGGAGGTCACAGTTCCATTCCGGTCAGGGGCACGTGCCTGGGGTGCGGGCTCGATCCCCAGTGGGGGGCGTGCAGGAGGCGGCCGATCCATGATTCTCTCTCATCACTGATGTTTCTCTCTCTCTCTCCCTCTCCCTTCCTCTCTGAAATCAATAAACATATTTTTAAATAAAAAATAAAGTTTGAAGTCGCTGGGTGTCACTCGGTGCGTCGGCCGCGGGCACCACCGGGCATGGCTCGCGCAGGCTCTGGAGGGGCAGTTTTCCTTGGCCGCTGACGGAGGGCGAGGAGTCCTTTCTCATCGCTGTGCTGAGACGCCACCCCACGTCTGGCTTTGTCAGGCGTCCCTGTAAGAGATGGGCACAGCCCCGAGCGCAGAGGGGTCTTGGGGGGCGTCTGTGAGCTTCCCCGGCCACCCCAAGGCCCCTCCTGGGGACACGGCAGCCTGCACTGCCCTCCCGGGGACACCGTGTCCCACAAGCCGGCTCCCCCCATGGGTACCCCAAGCTCCGTGCCGGCCAGAGCCACTCTGACACCGAGTGTCCTTTGTGTCCCCAGATGTCCCTGGGCTCCCAGATGGACCTGCAGAGGAAGAAGAGGCGCGCGCCGGCGCCCCCGCCGCCCAGCCCCCTGGTGCCCCTGCGCACGGAGGACCGCGAGGAGAACAGGAAGAGCGCGATGGGTGAGTGAGCCCGCCGCGCGCCGGCTGTGCCCGCACCTGTGCACCCGCATCCCGGGGCCCTAACCCACGGCCGCCCCCTTGCGCGGCCCTAACACGGGACGCGAGCGCTAATGCGAGGATGCTGGGAAATAAACAGTCTGGAGTGGACGTGTGTGTGTGTGCAAGCTAACAGGCGTGTGTGCAAGCTAACAGGCGTGTGTGCAAGCTAACAGGCGCGTGTGCAAGCAAACAGGCGTGTGTGCAAGCTAACAGGCGTGTGTGCAAGCTAACAGGCGTGTGTGCCGTGCGGAAGGCGGGATGGTGGGCAGGCCGAGGATAGCTGAGGACTCGGTGACAGTGGGCAGCGACCCGTGTTCTGAGGAAGGAAGGCGTGTTCTCAGGGTGACGTGCAGGCCGGGTGCTGAGAGATCAGATCTCGGGTGACAGCAGTTCAGTCATACACCTTGCGTGACACTGTCCCCACGGACACACCTTTTCCACAGGCAGCAAAGAGCCTGACAGTTGAGGAAGCAGAGCCCAGAGGAAGGGGGTGAATCAGAGCCCTGTGAGGTCACGCACCCGCCCCGCACGTGACGGGGGCGTGGAGAGAGCGACGGGGTCCCTGCGCGGAGGGCGGTGCGTTTATTCCCGCGCCGCCCGGGTTGACGTTCCCTCCGTGGGGAGCGGAGTGGGCGGGGGCGGGTGCCTGGCGCCCCGGCTGCAGGTGCAGGGAGCCCCGAGAGGCTGTCAGGTGGCCCCTCGATGCCGCCTCGCTCCCCGGCCACCCTCACAATTTGCCTTTGACCGCGGGGAACAGTCTCCTGGGACAAGTGGCCATTGTCCGCGTGCGAGGCGGACGCGGGCGCCTTGGCGGGGTATCAGCGCCCCCTGAATGCCCCTCTGTGCGAGGCTGGGCCTGCTGCGCCTGGGAATCGCGCGTCGAAGGAGCAGTGGCCTGTATTTCATGTCCGTTCATCCTCTTTCCCAAAGGAAACTACTGTCCAATTTAAAGAGAACATGCTCAGTAGCTCATTAAAGAAACCTCCAGCCTTCCCACCCTGCCCCCCATGCTCCCCACGCTGCCTTTTCCTGAAGGGATGGCAACCTCGATTTAGTTATTTATTTTACATAAACTTTTATTGGTTTCAGAGAGGAGGGGAGAGGGAGAGAAGAAAATCAGTGATGAGAGAGAATCATTGACTGGCTGCCTCCTGCACACCCCACACTGGGGATCGAGCCTGCAACCCAGGCCTGTGCCCTGACCGGGAATCAAACCCTGACCCCCTGGTTCATAGGTTGACGCTCAACCACTGAGCCACACCGCCCAGGCTCGAGAATGGGCACCTTCGATGGGGGCAGTGATGGGTAGATACGAGCAAGTCCATTTCCTCACGTCTAACGAGCTGTAACCAGGAGCAGGCCCGATAGGCTTGTCTCTTGATAAAGAAATGATGCTCCCTATTTTCACCAACAATTGGATCAGGAGCATGAAGAGTCTAAACCAGCCATGGGCAAACTGCGGCCCGCGGGCCGGATCCGGCCCGTTTGAAATGAATAAAACTAAAGAAAAAAAAAGACCGTACCCTTTTATGTAATGATGTTTACTTTGAATTTATATTAGTTCACACAAACACTCCATCCATGCTTTTGTTCCGGCCTCCGGTCCAGTTTAAAAACCCATGGTGGCCCTCGAGTCAGAAAGCTTGCCCACCCCTGGTCTAAACTCTAACGCGTGAGGAAAGCATTTTGAGGACGTGATGAAGCGGGACCCGTGACAGGAGGCATCCACACCGTGTGTGAGGCTAAGTCGTTGGCTAAGAAACTGTCATGACCAGGAGAGAGCCGTTCTCCTGAGACGTGGGGTGGCTCCCGGTGGATAAGCAGCGGCGGGGCTGTGGTGATGCTCCGAGAGGCGGCCCTTCGCAGCGGGGCCTGGGATGGCTGCCGGTGGCACAGGCGGCGGAGACCGTGGCTGAGAGCAGGCGAGGGGTGTGGAGAGGCCGCAGCAGTGCGCTGAGCCACCTGTGAGCCAGGCACGCTCGCAGGAATAAAACGAGGTGCTCTGAACTGGACGGCGATGTCGGGGCTTTAGGAATGGTTTCAAGCCCAGCGTTTAAAAGGCAGCCAGTTACCCCTGGGCAGGACCCTCCACACTGGGCCGCAGGGGGTGCCCGGGCCCGTGCAGCGTCCGAGCCGGAGTGAGGGCATGTGGTGCCGACGGAGGTTAAACTCGGGGCAGCGTGTGGTTACACTTGGTACCGGGTGTGGTTGCCTTTGGTTCTAGATGGAGTTGCTTTGGTGCTGAGTGAGGTTGGATTCCGTTCTGGGTGTGATTGGGTTTGGTGCTGAGTGAGACTGGATTTGGTGAGGGTGTGGTTGGATTTGGTGAGGGGTGTGGTTGGATATGGTGAGGGGTGTGGTTGGATATGGTGAGGGTAGTGGTTGGATATGGTACGGGTGAGGTTGGATTTGGTGAGAGGTGTGGTTGGATTTGGTGAGGGTGTGGTTGGATATGGTGAGGGGTGTGGTTGGATATGGTGAGAGGTGTGGTTGGATTTGGTGAGGGTGTGGTTGGATATGGTGAGGGGTGTGGTTGGATATGGTGAGGGGAGTGGTTGGATATGGTGAGGGGAGTGGTTGGATATGGTAAGGGTGAGGTTGGATTTGGTGAGAGGTGTGGTTGGATGTGGTGAGGGGAGTTCCAGTTAGATATGAGGGGTGTGGTTGGATTTGGTAAGGGGTGTGGTTGGGTTCGGTAAGGGGTGTGATTGGATTTGGTGAGGGGTGTGGTTGGATTTGGTGAGGGGAGTTCCAGTTAGATATAATGAGGGGAGTAGTTGGATTTGGTAAGAGGTATGGTTGGGTTCGGTAAGGGGTGTGATTGGATTTGGTGAGGGGTGTGGTGGCACCGCGCCCCCTTTTGGCAGGCGGGGAGCCTCTGCCTTGACCTCTGAATAACCCTCCTTGATCCCATGTAGGTGGTGGACGGCAGGTGCCACAAAAGCCTCCGAGAGGCACGGCTCGGGGGCCTCCCCAGTTAGTGCTGCCCCCGCCCCCGCCCTACCCTCCTCCCGACACGGACGTGGCCGAGCCCCTCGGCTCCCCCGGGGAAGGCGCTGCTCCCGAGGCCGCGGACCCGCGACCCACACGTACGTGCCCCCGTGCCCGTGCCCTGACCGCCCCCTCTGGTGCCTGGTGTCGCTGCCTCCACGCCTCCCGCTCCTCCTGGTGTCTGTGCCTCTCCTCTCCTCCCTTCCCAGCGCTCCAGGCGGTGCGTCCCGCGCCAGCGAGGGCCGAGGGCCGTGTGCGGCCCAGACAGCGGTTTGACCCATTGGTCGCTCAGGTTGTGGTCAGGCTTCGGCCGGCGTGGTGCCGTGTGGGGGGGACAGCTAGTGAATAGAACCAACCTCAGACTGGCAGCCATCGCAGCCCCAGCGCCGCCCAGCACAGCCCTGCAGCTGGAGCGCCCTCGGCCGAGGCCGGGGGCCGTGGTCAGCGTCAGAGGCCAGGGCATCAGCACCCGGGCCCGTGGCCCCTTCCTGGCGCTCTGCGGAAAGGGAGACCGAGGCACCGGGAGGAGGAGGCGTGGGGTGGAGTCCAGCCGCGCAGAGCAGAGCTCCGTGGGCGTGTGCCTCGTCGCAGCCTGGGAGGCCGAGCTCTCCTGGGCCCGGGCTCCTCCCGGGCGGGCGGGCGGGCGGGGCTGAGCTCTGCGTGGAGCAGCCGCCTCCAGGGCAGTTGTCACGCGGGTCCGGCCTCCGCTGCGTCCCAGTCGCTGCCTCGCAGCCCCGGGGAGCTGCCCCACCTCCCGGCGTGAGGGGCGCCCACGTGGTGCCCGGAGGAGGGGCCTCTTGCTTGTTTTCTTAATATGTTTTTGTTGATCTCAGAGAGGAAGGGAGAGGGAGAGAGAGATGGAAACATCCACGATGAGAGAGAATCAGGGACCGGCTGCCTCCTGCAGGCCCCACACTGGGGATGGAGCCCACAACCCGGGCCTGTGCCCTGCCCGGGAATGGAACCCTGACCTCCTGGCTCCTAGGTTGGCGCTCAGTCCCTGAGCCACGCCAGCCGGGGAGGGTCTGGTTTCTTGACCATCTTGGTGGCTGAGTGGGTTGGTGCGGTTCTGTCTGACTGTCACTCTTCGGAGCCTGGCATCTCGTTTGCAAGCACTGCCCTGCGGTCGGAAGCACAGCTGGCTCTCTCGCGGAGCGAGCTCGCAGGAGACAGGACGCACCGTTCGCTCGCGTGGGAGCCGCGTGGCCGGAGGTCAGGGCGCGCGCTCCGCCGTCACCGGGCAGGACTGAGCTCCTGGGCCCGATCTGCCTGCGGCGTTGCCTTCTTCCTGGAGGCCGTGGCCGGGCCACGGTGGCGCCCGAGTTGGCAGGCGCGTGTGCACGGTGAGAGGAGGGGGACCAAGCCCCATGACCGCTCAGAGCCGTGGCGCGGCCGTCGCCGTGAGCGGGCCTTTGGTGGCGTGTTTGAGCGTGATTGTGGGACAGTGGGACAGTGGTCCCCTGCTCCTTGCTCTGTAGCCTTGTCGTTTCGTATTAATAAACTTTCACATTAACCTCCGACACGTGGCCACGTACACAGCAGCCGCGTGGGCACGTCTGAACCAATGTACTTGCACCAGTTTCTCTTCCTCACGACTTCCTAACCAGCTTGCTTCCTGCCTGCATTTGATTTTACTTGAACCTTCGCTGTGAAGTCAGGAGCATGGAGCCCGTCCTGCTGACTGCATTGACGTGTTTGTTTTCAAGATCCGCAGCACGGGTTGGTTACGTCAGGCTACTAACCAGGCACGTTAGGCTACTAACCAGTCCTCAGTTACTTACTCCCACAAGGAGGCCCTGGGGGTTAAAGCCAGCGCACACAGAGCCATGCACAGCGCCTCCATTCGCTCTGGGCTTTAAATTAAACCGGCCCTGGACTGTCAGGGTACACCCGACCCCTCGTCCTGCACCAGCCTCAAGCTGCCCGTCTTCTCGTGGCTGCCCATTCCTAGGGTCGTTGCAAGATGGGGCTCGTTTGTTTGTTTTTAAGCCTCACCCAAGGATATTTTTTCATTGACTTTACAAGAGAGTGGAAGAGATGGGGAAAGACAGAGAGAAACATCGATGTGAGAGAGACACATCGATGGGTTGCCTCCTGCATAAGCCCCAACCAGGGCTCAGGCCAGGGAGGAGCCTGCAACCAAGGTACGTGCCCTTGACCGGAATCGAACCCGGGACCCTTTGGTCTGTAGGCCGACGCTCTATCCACTGAGCCACACCAGCCAGGGCGGTTTTAGAGGGAGCACGGGTCGTGGTCTCCTGTTCTGGGAGGCACGTCGCATTCAGGCAGACGGGTGACAACCAGGAGGCCGCTGGCTGATTGTTTTCTGTGTGTGAGCAGGCGTCTTCTCCGAGGAACCCAGAGAAACCCTGAAATAAGGCAACCAGAGGAGAGAATCAAACTCTCCATCTTCAGCCAGGAGACAGGGCTTTGCGTTGGCTCCTGTGAGATTAATAATAACAATTCACACCCGGCAGCCTGGCCCAGCACAGCCTGGGAGTGCCTGGGCTCAGCTGGGGGTCCCCAGGAGGACGAGGCTCCCCGAGGCTCGCTCACTCCGTGAGCACCCGCACTGGAGAGGGCACAGGGACCGGCGGGTGCCCTCCAGGTGGCACCCGTCTTTAAGGTCGCCTGCCGTCCTCTAAAATCTGAACCAGATTAAACCCTTGGCCTGTTTCCAAGCCAAGGAGTCCAGCCCGAAGCTGCGCACAGTCCAATGCGGGGCATCCCGTTGGTCCCGGCCCCGTGGAGCCCGAGGTTGTGGCCGCCGCGCCAGCCTAGGAGAGCGCTGGGCCCGTCCTGTGCCTAGTCACCGCTTCCTGCCCGTCCCTGCGAGGGAGCCGGCCGCACAGCTGCGCGCTGCCCCTGGGAAGGGCTCCAGCCGCCCAGCAGGAAGGGACGGGGCCCACGGGCCTGCTCGTACAGGGAGAGATGGAAGGAGATGGCGACGGTGGGAGCAGAGACTGCCCTCCTCGGACTCACCTTTGAGAGCCTGGCACTGAGCTCTCAGCTCCGAGCAGCCAGGGCCCGGGACCGGGACAGATGGCTGGGTTTTCGAGGATTTGACAAGCCTGTTGTACTTAGCAAATCACGACCATTATTAAAAAGTAAATTATGTAAGCTTGCGATTAAATAAACAGTATTAAAAACAAAGGTGACAGCCCTAGTCAGTTAGGCTCAGTGGATAGAGCATCGGCCTGCGGACCAAAGGGTCCTGGGTTCGATTCCGGTTAAGGGCACATACCTCGATTGCAGGCTCCTCCCCACCCAGGGCCCTGGTTGGGGCGTGTGCAGGAGGCAACCCATTGATGTGTCTCTCTCACATCGATGTGTCTCTCTGTCTTTCCCTCTCTCTTCCACTCTCTCTAAAAAATCAATGGAAAAATACCCTCCGGGGAGGATTAAAACATAATTTTAAAAATAACAAAAGAACAAAGATAACAAACACTGGAAACGCGCCCCGTCCTGATCTTGTCACCGCCTTTCCCTGTGTCTGTGCTCCCGGCCTGAGTTCCGTGTGTTGAGTCCACACGATTCGATGGTACAGAGAACAGCGGGATCCCGCAGCCCAGTCTGTGGCCGCACCCTCGGCCAGCCCCACGGTCAGCCCCTGGCTCTGGCAGCTGGGGACCGACAGGAGGGAGCATTTACACCATGGAAAGTGGCCCCGGTGACAGCCCGCTGCTGCCTCTGCCAGCAAGGACTTGAGGGTTCCCTCTCGAGTGCAGATACTTTTGTCCGACAGCCTGAAGGAGGAGGGCGGTCCCGGCCCTTTAGCCCCTCCGCAGACGCGACCGGAGGAGAGACGCCGGGGCCACGGCGATGGGCACGGCGGGGCTCTGTGTGCGCGGCGGCGGCCCCGGGCCGAGGCTGCATGCGGAGGGCGGGGTGCCCGGGGCGCGTTCACACTCTGCCCTTTGTCCCCACAGTTTACTGCTGTGCGTCATTCCCTAGTCACGCCAAGCGCTTCTGACGACGCTGCCGGACCTGCCCCTCCGCCTCCACCTCCGCTGTCCTGCCCGATCGCTGTCCCCCCGGAACAGGGCCCTGGGACTCGGGGCGCACTTCCTTTAGGACTTACACTTACACGCATCGCAACAGGCTTTGTTTCCCGGGCCCCCTGGTTCCTGGGAGGCGGCAAAGGCCTTTATGTGTCAATCCTCGGCCGGTGTGTCGGCCTGTCCGGATGTCCCAGTCGCGGGTCCTGCACCTGTTCCTGTGAGAGCCTGGCTTTACTTTACTTCCTACTCGTTCGCCCCTCTCTTGTTCGCTCTTCGTTGCAGAATATCTCCCCGGTTTTCCTAGAAACCAGATTGTGCCCATACGGCGGCGGGCGAGGCCATGCGGGTAGAAACGTTCTGTCCACCTGGTGAAACAGCACCTCCCCCGGGGGCCAGAAATAGCTGTGGGACCCCAGCTCGCGGCCGGTACCCGTGTGTCCCAGACACGCAGGGCCCAGTGTCTCTGGGGGTGTCCGGGGCTTTCCCATGAGCCTCTGCCACCGCGCAGGTCGTTCCCGTGAAGAACAGAGAGGAAAGAGAGGTCCCTCCTCCGTTCACTGCGCACCCAGCCGCGTGTCCCCCCCGCGGAGGGCTTGCTGGGGGCGGCCGGTGCCGGCGTCGGGGCGTCAGCGTGAACAGCGCGCGGCCTGCCTGGGTTTCCTCCCGGGGCTCCCCCTGGCAAGGAAGACACCACGGCCCCATCTGACAGATGCCAGCCTGGGGGCTTGTACCAGGGTGATGAGGCTTCCGGTGTGGCCGCCACGGCCCGGACAGGTGTGCTGCCCTGCCCTCTCGGCCCGAGAACCCCGTCCCCCAGGGAGAGGGCGACCCTCGGCCCCCGAGACAGCAGGGCAGGGGGCAGTCTCCCTGTTGCGCCTCCGGCTGAGGATGGACGACGTGCTGGCTCAGACTCACTTCTGTTCCTGTGCAGAGGTCACTGGGACGGGAGACGCTGTCGTGTTTCTCTCCAATATAAATGTCTGTATCATCTTAATCCTCACCCAGGATATTTTCCCATTGATCTTTAGAGCGCGTGGGAGAGAGAGGGAAAGACAGAGGGAAGCATCAATGTGAGAGGAACACACTGATTGGTTGCC